GCACACACACACACGCACACACACACGCACACACACACACACGCACACACACGCACACACACACACGTACGCACACACACACACACACACACACACACACACACACACACACAAATATGCACATATTTGTACTTGTTTATTCATTCTTTCAGTTATTTATAGCAAGACAAAACAGTTAATCTCTCTTCTGCTGTGCAGGAGGAGATGGAAGGGTCAGAACAGTTCGTATCAAAGAAAAAGTGAAAAAAAGAAAAAAAGCAAAATTTATCTAGAATAACGCAAAATCCGCCAGAAACGGAAAAATTAGGCAGTGCGCCTAAAAATTCAATGAAATGCAAAAAAGCCAGTTTTAAAATGCCAAATAATGTTAAAAACCGACCAAATCGGCCCGGAAAAGCACCACTTAATATCGGATTTGTTCAAAAATTACAATTTTGAAAAACAAAATGACACACATTTTTTACAGTAAAATGCGTGACATTTTGATCCGACGTGCGATTTCAGACAGGAAACGTTGTTTTCAATGAAGACATTTCCCAAGAAGTATTTAAAGTAATAGGCCGACGCATGGGCTGCCCGTGCGGAGATGCGCTTTTTGCATAGCTCTCCGCAGATTTTTGACGCTAAAGGCACCGGTTTTTCTGGCAGATGCTTCTAGCTAAAAGAATTTTAGATTGGCCGCCAGGACTGTCAGGAAACATCCCTTCAAAATTCTAGTCTCTTAGCTTCTCACTTTCCCGAGTTAGCAACTTTCCCGGAAGAAACTTTCAAAGGCCCGTACGTAGGCACCACGCTTACCCGCAGGCAGGGCTTGAACTCGTTAATACCTACTTGGACGGGGAACATTGCCCTAAGATTTCAGCGTTCAAGCTTCTCAGATCCCCGAGTTATGAACTTACCCTAAAAAAATTTTGGCGGGCCCGTACGCGGGTAACATGCTTACCCGAGGAATGAGTTTCAGTGCATTAATACCTACTTGAACAGAGAACACTGCCCTAAGAATTCAGCATTCTAGCCTCTCAGATCCCCCGATTTATGAGCTTACCCGAAAAAAATTTTGGCGGGCCCGTACCTGTGGGTACCACACCTGCCCGGGGGATGAGTTTGAGTGCAACAACACCTACTTGGACGGGGAACATCACCCTAAGATTTCAGCTTTCTAGCTTCTCAGATCCCCGAGTTATGAATTTACCCAAAAAAAAGTTTGGAGGGCCCGTACGCGAGTACCACGCGGGTGTTGGCGCTCATTTTGGGGACTGGGGCCGGAACGTGCATGTAGATTAAGTTCCTGAAATTTCAGCCCCGCAGCTTTTATAGACCTTGAGATGAAGTGCGTGACAGACGCACACACAGGCACACGGGCACACAGACAATCCCTCGTCAATATGCGTTTTTGCATTGCATAGCTGCAAAAAACGCATAACAAGGATAGCTTCAAAAAGAATAAATTAAGCAAAACCGAGCAGATATGGGCGCGGTGGTGGCAAGCATTTACAAGAAATGAAAAAAAAAATGCCTACCTTCATACCAGTTGTTTCGGCATGAAGTTTAGCCATCGCACAGAATGATGTAACATGTGGTGTTTTATTCTAAAAAAGCAAGCATGAGGTGAATAGAGTAACTTCCTAAAAATATGCTAAACGAAAATAAGTTGCGAAAATGCTAAAAATGTACAAGAAAAAATGGTACCTGAATATGACCAGCAGCTTCACGGACAAGTAATCTTGAGGCATAAAGTTTGGAAGCCATAGCAGCCAGTTCCCATTCATCGCTTAAAACATCCGATGTTGGTTTGGCACGTTGTGAATCACTTTTGAAATGTTCAATTGCCAGATCGATGCTCATCTGCGAGGCGCCAAGCCAGCACGAGGCCACATTCACTCGGCTCCCGTTGATACCCCAAAGTGACATCGTCAGACCTTAAAAATCAGAAAACAAAAAACAAAAAATGCATATTTACACGGCTTAACCAATTCCTATTGCTTTTAAACAAAGGCGAATTCTATAAAGCCAGTGTCCACTACATACGTGACACCTTCGCTTACTAGTTGTTTTCTTCAAAAAAAAGCAATTTTGCTTCGCAGTGCTAATTACCAAGGTTAAAATCTAGTTGCCATAGCCCGGCTTATCGGTGTAAATATGCATTTCATTGCGCAGTTTTCCACGCAGACGTTTCTCGCTAAACAGCATTGTTTTGTTCGGCAAATATCTGCTAAACGAAGTGAGACTGGCCATCACGTTGTCAAAAATTATCACAAAGATGCCCAATAAAAACGATTGTGGGTAACACTTCAAATATTCCCGTAGATACAGCTATTCTAGTTTCAGAGTTACGCCAAATTTCACGTGCTTATACGTGAGGGTGAGACATGATAACGATAAAGTAATGGGTTTGCATGGGACAAAAACAGTACCATCAACATCTCCTCCGATCTGATTAGCAACAGGAACACGACAATCATGAAATGTGATTGTGCGTGGTACAATATCATCCTTCCAAGCATACTTCTTTATAGGCTTCTTTGAAATTTCAATACCATCTGTACTACTGTCAACCTGAAACGCTGAATGCGGTGAGAAAAAGGATCAAAGTTTTAGAAGTATGAGGACTAAAAAAAGAATTGTAATATATGATCCCAAGGTATGAAATTTAAGAATCTGTTACATCGTCAGGCTGACGGACAATTAATGCAGAGGCAATCAAAGAAAGAAATGGTACGACATAAATTTGAATTTTTGTAGAAATTACAGAATAATGAATAAGCTAAGATGCTTGACTCCATCATTTCTAGAAAAAAAAAATGCCTCGGCAAACAAAATTATTAGATTTGCAGCTGACAAAAAAAAGGCTTTAACGATGAAGTTAAGTTACTCGGTCATATGAAATGCGAAAATTCTTTGTTTCAGGATGGCTAAACTGGAATGAAGCGTAAGCAGTCAGCTCATAAGCAGACGCAAAAAGCCTGCAGTTTGCGAAATCCCGTAATGACAAAATGCATAAGATGAAGAGCAGAAGCAAATAACTAACGAAAACATACAGCAATGCAAAAAATGCCATCGGCGCCTGTTCTGTTTTCATGTCGGGCAGTTA